ATTGCCGGCAATGGGGTGGGCATGGTTTTGGCATGATGCATCACACTCGCAATATCACGTGATGTGTTGCGACGTATTTTCTCCATTGCCAGCAATGGGGTGGGCATGGTTTTGGCATGATGCATCCAGCCCACGGGCTGGCAGTTTGACACCCTGTTCTAGACCCTCTAACCTACTAATAATCCTTCCTTTTTGTGCTAAGTAGACAAATGCATCTATCTTGTTACTTGTTAGTCTGGTTTGGTTTGTGGTAGCCTTTTCTCTTCCTCCACTTAATCTGCTTTGAGTAGTGTTGAATAGTCCCCATTTCCTCATGAGTGAAATCTCCCAGGAGTGGTATCCCTATATTGAAGGATGGAGTACTGGAAATTTCCACATTCTTTGAAAATATATAGGGGGAGCAACTCTTGCACACTTTTTGTAAGTTTGGCAGAACTTAATCTTGCAAAATCCTTTTTTATTTGTACTTAGAATTCTGACATATATCCAGGAGTTGAGAGAACAAAAGTGTCTGAGGGGGTGAACAGAGCCTGATTAAAAAAAAAAAAAGTGGTTCCAAAATTGGTTCCAGACATTTACAGGATCCTCTCCATTGGACACCAAGAAGGGCTTTATAAAGTTTTACTTTATTAATGTATGTATTAAAGTCCAATTGAATGTTGAATGTCTTATTTTGATTATTCAATCCAACCATGATGTTAAGGCCCAGTTGTATTTTTCTTGGTCCACCTCAGCCAAGTTTTTCCACTTATATACATGGACTAGATTTTTTCCAATCACTGACGGGTTATAATTATTGCAGAAATATGAACTAGTCTTTTAAATATAATAACCTGCTTGGCCCCTGCTTCTATCCATCATTCTCTTTCTCCCTGTCTGATTTATTAAAGATCAATGATTTAAACACGGCTTCATAATTCAAGCTAGATAGAGTTCTGGCTTGGTCAAAGGCAACTCAGTACTACTAATTTATTTCGAACATGTGTCATATTTTGGACACATTATGATGCATCTATCGGAAAGATGACAATGCTAGGCAAGGTGGATAGAAGATGAAGAAGCAGCTGGCAGCATATGAGGCCGATAGATGGAGAACTCGATGCCCCAGAAATGAAATTACAAGAATTGGATAATGCAGCAAGAGACAGGACTGTTTGGGGACCACAGTGTCACCAGGAATCAGCTGACTCAACTGAGCATAACAATATTGAAAATTCTCTATTAAAAATTCTCACTGCTGATATTTTACAGGTGAAAATACAGAGATTGAAGAAATTTATTTATTTATTCTTCACATTTCTGAATCGCCCCTCTTCCTCAAAGTATTTGTACTAAATTGCAATTAGTACAAATATAGAAATGGATGGAACCTTATTTCCACTTGCAATTTTGTTCCACTTGTTAAATGAATGTGAGTCTCAATGCACATTAAAGAGAAGCAACGCTGGCCACCATCTTAACTGTTGTGATCCTCCTCTCCATTGGGATGCTGACCAATGGAGCCAAGCAGCACATATACAGTTCCTCCGTATTATGAGATAAGTATCTATGGATAGTAATGTCCTCATAAATACCCCTTGTATCTGATATCTGAAAAGTATATGTCCTATTCTGCTTCCAGCTACTAGCTGGGTTCTTAGGTCCCTTCCAAACCTACCTTCTTCCTGCATGTTTCAATAAGAAATATAAAGTCGTTCCTCTAGAAAAGACACAGATAAGAACAAGAATTTCTTTGAACATTTCAGATGGATTCAGGGTATGAACAAGTCCTGTGCTTATATGATGGAATATTAAGCTCTGGGGAAACCTCTCCATAGCATCTGAAGGTGGGGCCAAGAAGCAATGGGTGGAAGCTCGTCAGTGGGAGATCTAGCCTGAAAATAAGGAGGAATTTTGTGAGACTGAGAACAACTTGCCTCTCAGAATTGTGGGTGCTCCATCATTGGAGGTTTTCAAGAAAATATTGGACAACCATGATATAAGGATTCCTGCCTTGGGCATAGGGGATTGGACTAGAACAGGGGTCCCCAACCCCCGGTCCATGGACCAGCACCAGGCCCTGGCATGCCAGCAACCGGTCCACACAAACAAGCAAAGCCCCATCCGTGAGATGCAGGCAGCACACAAAACTGCACCCTCTCCAGTCCACAGAAAAACCTCTCTCCACAGAACCAGTCCCTGGTGCCCAAAAGGTTGGGGACCTCTGGACTAGAAGACCTCCCAGTTCTCTTCCAGCCCTATGACTCTATGCTTCTATGAAAGCATTTCAGGTTTCCATTAACTTCACTTCATTTGGTAGAAAAGGGCAATGTCATGTTTTATTTACTCTATGGATAATATTATCTTCCAGGTGAACATCTCTCTTTCATATTTTACGGAGTCCTGTTTTTTTTTTCACACTGTGGTTGCAAAAAGGTCATTGTTGACAAGTGGCTGCTAGGGAGATGGAAAAAAAAAACATGATTTCTTCCTGTTCCCAAAGTAGCTTTTATGGTGTCAAGTGCCTTTTCACCCCCCAAATCTGACCTGTGCTTTTTACTCTGCCACGCTTGTGAGTAGTGATAAAAAGAGACCCTGAAGATAGCAGGAAACACAGATTGCCTTTCTCACACCAGATGCAGCCAAGTAACAAGGATCTGAACTGTGTTTGCTTCTGAAATAGCACCCTGTCATTCACTGCAATTTTCTTTTTAATTAAACGTTGCCACAATGCCCCTCACTGGTCAAAGTATATTGGAAAATTTATGCTGCTGTATATGGGTAGTCCCAACTTGCTTCACAATGCCATGAGGTTAATTGTTTAAGTAATGTATCTTTCTTACAACATACTGTATTTTTTTCTGCCCAGCCGCAAGGTATTTCAGTGTTTACTGAAATGAACCTAGTGCAGAAACTCAGGGGAAAAAATAGAGTTTGGGAAATAACAGGGATTGGGGGGGGGAGGAAATTATTGTAATGAGGTGGCATTGAGGATCTCACTGTCCTTGGATTGTTCATAAGCTTTGGAAAAATACATTAAATGGCTCGATCCTATAGTCATAAAAGTAAAGATAGAGTAGACTCCTCTGTCCAATGGAGTCTAGGAGGCAGTGCTCATCTCTGTTTCTCAGCAGAAGGAGCCAGCATTTTCTGAAGACACTTCTGTGGCCATGTGGCCAGTATGACTATATGCCAAGGTGCACGGAACACTGCTACCTTCCCACCAAAATGGTACCTATTTATCTACTTGCATTTGCATACTTTCGAACGGCTAGGTGGGCAGGAGCTGAGGCAAGTAACAGGAGCTCACCCCATTGCGTGGTGCTCAGGCCTTGACCCCAGGCGGTCAGCTTTCCAGCTGACAAGCTCAGCATCTTTAACCACTGAGCTATCACACACACACCTTTACTGTGGTCATACACTTGATAATTTTAATTTCATGGAAGAAACTTTATGCATCCAGTCTACTCTTCAATGAGCAAATGGCAGGAACAGCTGAAGGAAAGACTTCAACCCTGTTGCCTTGGGACCGCTACTTCAGTCCAGCTGGCTTCTTTTCCATGGTTACAATGCTATTTCACTATGAAACAAAGGGCTAGGAGATTTTTCTCAAGCGGTGTACAATCCTGATTCCTTTATCCATGAATGAAAGGAGTCTTGTTGGCATAGGCTGTGAAAAGAATAAAGAGCCAATGTAAGTGTAAATAAGATAAGAAATAAAATATGAGCATGGAGGAAGGAAAAGGGTAATTAATTCATTGGTGTCTGCAAGGGAAATGAGGGGGGTGCAAACAAGGAAAAGTATTCAACAGTGTCATCATACAAAGGCCACAACTTCTATCAGACGCCAGCATTTACTTTATGGCATTGCCATGTCCATCCTTGTGGCTTGCTGCAGATGCCACTAAAATGGATACCTTCTTAGTTACAATACGATTATATAATGATTACATCTGTACTGCTATTGTATTTCTGGATTATACTTGCATTTTTTAAAACTTACATTGTACTGACCTTGGAACATAATAAACAAGGATTAAAGAAGAAACTCTCTGGAAACTTCCTAGAAATCATAGAGACATGAATGAAAGCTAGTTAAACACAGATCATAACTGAAAATAAATGATGCCCATTTACAATCTCATAGATGGATGTAATAGAACAGACAGTCAGATATTTCTGACTACAGGAAAAAAATATGTACAGTAGTTTTCCTAGCAACATAAGTAAGTGATTAGCCATTGTCTTCATCTAGGATATGTTCTGACTAGCTCACAGTTTTGGGATTTCCTCATGCTCTTCATTCTGAGCACTAATCAAATCTGAACCTCACTTAAATTAGCTTCTTCAAAAATCAGCCAAGGTCAGCTAGGGATGCCCATTTGTCCCATAAAACCGAGACTGAGTGCAGGAAGAAACAGCACATGATTTCAGTACCATAGAATATGACATTCTTCAAAAGCAAATTCAAAATAATATCAATTTGCATCCAATGCATAGAAATGAGTATGTGCGTCCAGGGCTCATTTATATTATGAAATAGATTGGATGTCTGCATGAAATGTGGAGAATGGTCTAAAAACAAAATAATAAAGCCTCTGAAACCTTTAGAAACATGTTTCTTTTCTTCAAATATTCAGGTTTTGACAGGGTTCTCATGCAATGTTCTCCCATTCTATTTGAACTTCCATATAGAGCGGATATTCTCTGCTATTGAACTGTGGTGTGAGAAAGGATCATAGTTAACTGACAATACAGAGATTTAGCTCTGGAAAGCTCTGTTAAGAATGCCATATAGACGATTTCTTCCCTCCCTCCATCTCCCCCCAAATTCACAGTGTAGTTGCTCCATTATTCCAATTTTTAGAATTCTAGAAATGTCACAATCAAACGCCCAGATTGGAATGTCACATACATAGTTGGTGGCACATGGGGAACCATATGGAGTTGTATAATGAGATATATTTCCAGTTCTTTTACAATTAGGAAGTGTTAAGTTTATGTCTTTGTTCACCTTGCAGGTATTTCTGAAAAGTGACCGTGTCGCCAGAATGGTTCAGAGTGGTGGGTTCTCAGCTAATGACTCCCGAGAAGTCTTCAAGAAACATATCGAAAAGAGGGTCCGTAGCCTCCCTGAGATTGATGGTCTCAGTAAGGAGACTGTCCTGAGTTCCTGGATGGCAAAATTTGATGCAATATATCGGGGGGAAGAAGACCCACGCAAAGCTCAAGCCAGAATGACAGCAAGTGCTGCTTCAGAGCTGATTCTCAGCAAGGAGCAGCTGTATGAGATGTTCCAGAACATCTTGGGAATCAAGAAATTTGAACATCAGCTTCTGTACAATGCATGTCAGGTAAGACTCCTTGTTGTCCAGGGAACCATCTCCTGTCAAATTGTGGACACAATAGAATATCTATTCCTGATAGGGCATTAGTCTGAATCATATGATGGAGATGAACAAGCTTTGCCTCTGTTCTTTGCTATTCCCTCTGTTTCTGCTCTTTCTGTTATGAGGAACACAGAAAGGTATGCTTGATATGACATCTTATATTAGCCTTTGGATATAGGATGGCAACCTCTTTTTATTCAAAAGGCTAGCAGACTTTGGTTGAGGCATGAGTGATTCCACCAGACTCTACCAGGATGGGATGAAGTAGGGTGCTTGTGTTCTGATTAGGATCTTATTGAATGAAAATTTTGAATGATATCCAGAGTATTGTCAATCTTATTGACAATTCCAATATTCATGGAAGAGCAGTCCTTGGAGGCTTAGCTTTTGGAGTCAGACTGGTCACATAAAGCCATGCATAATGACACAGGCAGATGGAAGACATCCTAGCTTGGTTTGGTTGAAAACCTAGACAATTTGCCTCTTGTCTTTTAACAAATGAAATAGGGATGTGGTACTCTTCCATATATACTGTACTTTATAATTAGCAATATGGAGAAAGAATGCTCCTGAAGAATATAACTTGCATCTGTTGATTATTCAATTTTCTACCCTACTTATGTATGGGTGTATTATGCAGGATGTTATTGGTGCTGGGAGGTCCTCACTATAGCAGAATGGGATGTCTGAATAAAATATTACAAGAGAACCTCTTTTCTTCATCCTTTACTTAACAACAGTTGGCGAGGAATTGATGATATAGAGACATTGGGTTGGCCCATGAGTCTTTTAGATGTCTTCAGCAAAATTAAGTCTTGGAATTAAGTCTTGTAAAGTGGTAGAATCTTAGGCTAACTGGTAACCAGTCTTCCTCCATCTGAAAAAACTTTGAACCTCAAGACCAAGACCAATGACCAGAGGCTTTAGGAAATTGTGTGCTACAAAAAAGCTAAGGAGTTGTCACAGCTTATAAAAAGTACCTGTTACATGTGTTGGTTCAAATCTCAATTAGATGACTTTGAACATTTAATGGTACTGATAATGACATAGCAGAGACCCAAAGGCTCTGTGGGTCATAGAAACAAGAGAGCTGCCAGACAGTTTTGGAGACATCAGAGGAGGTTTGGAGGAAGACAAGGGGACTATAAAAGTGTTTTACAAATGCTTGGCAATGCTTACAAGGGATTCATGACATTCATCAAGGTGAAAAAGGACAGTGCATCCTCAGATAAAGTTGCATCTGAGGGAGGATGCAATAGAAGGAGAAAGTTTCTTGATGTCAACTCTAAGAAGTTTTCAAGAAAATGTTGACAGAATATTAAAGAACAGAAGAAAAAATGAGAGGGGAAAGTTAAAGAATTTTGATGAAAGGGAAAGACAGTCAGCTAAGTTTGATTAATTTAAAGTTATAAACTAAGTTCTGATCTGTATCTGGTCATATGGCATTCTGGAGCTGAAATATATGTATTCTGTATTGTGCTCCTTTATGCACACTGCAAGAAGGATTGCTGGTAATTGAAAACTAGACTTCTCATTTAAGTGCAATCAAATCTACTTGTAGAATTTTTACCCAAGGTTCCTCCCATTCTTTTGGCTGTTTAAATAGGCTGAACAAGTTAATTTGTTTTGTTTTGTCTATATGTTAGCCTTATCTGATTTATTTTGTTTTTGCGATCTAGAGATCATTACCTCAGGTTATCTCATGCAAATTTTTGAGGCATATGCCATATTTTTAGTAAATTCTTTTCTGTTGCTGGAAGGAGTGTTTTCCAGATGTACAAATATTGAGAATGCATGCATGAATGAATGAATGAATGAATGAATGAATGAATGAATGAATGAATGAGTAATATATGAATGAATATTCTGGAGATGATGCATTTAACGCTTGAACCTTTGGAGCCAAGTTTGAAATCGACTTGCTCATCCTAAACTAGAGGGGTTACCATAGTTACAGATTAATAAAACTGATGTTTTCGTTTTGTATATCTCAGCTTTTCCCTGAATCTCTGCAGCTGTTCAAGGTTGCAGAGATCTTGCTCAGATAAACTAGTTTTAGGAGAATGGTCATAGTATCTGCAGGACTTGACCAAACAGTCTTTCAAAATAGTGACTTATTGGCATTGTCTGTGACTTTTATTTTATATGCATTCTAATTGAAGATATTGAGAGATATTTCTTAAGGGGCAAGAGAATACTAGATTAAAAATAATGAAAACAATTTTACAAGCATCACAGAAATGCAGGTTAAAATAAGTTCTTTCAGGAGCTGCAAGGTGAATGTGATCGTTAGTTGGTTAAAGCATCAACAATCAATAATGCGATCACCTCTGGTGACATTCAAAGATTGCTTAACATTTACACTGGGTCAGACAGCAAGTTATGATTAAGTAGTAATAGTAAGACAGATGGAGGACAAATGAAGATCTTGGAGAATCATATGCTAGGCTGGATCAAGAAATTTATTTTTAGTCATTCAGATCAGAGTTTACTTTGCAGGATCTGTTTTGTACATCATAAGCATCCCAGGTAAGTTATTGGCATTCTGGTTACATGCTAAGCTTTCATTATTTCACTAGTATAACATGAGGAGTGAATAGAGAGAGAGATGTGTGTGATATAGGGTCTCCTGCAAGGGGGTTGGACTAGAAGACCTCCAATGCCCCTTCCAATTCTGTAATTCTGTGTGTGTGTGCATGAAACAATAGGAAGCCAGGAATCCTGGACAATCTAGAGCAAATCACCCATAGAATTAGCAAAAGGTTCACATCTATTTTCTACTTAACCTTTATCTGAAGAGTTTTTGAGAACTCTTCAGAATGAATGGGTTTTATAATGTACAATATGTTATTTGACCTTTGAAGGGCTATCTGGCAAAAGAAATGAACGTGCAATATAAGAAGAATGCAATAATAACAAAAAAAAGCAAGTCAAACTCCTCTTCTTTCACTCCACCATGACAATTACTTCTTGTGCTGAGACTTTTCATCACTTCCATATGATAATAGTTGATTTCTGTGGAATCTGTCTTTAGCCATTCCATGTTCATTATTTTTATGGGACTGATTGTTCTGCCATTATCTCTTTTATAGCTCTGCTGTTGCTATTACAGTGTTACTGCTGGAATTACTTGTTTAGCACACACAGTTTCCAATTGACATTTAGTGGAAAAATTGATCTGCAAATTGTCTTGAGATAAATAGCGATGACAGGTTAGGGTCTATGGCATCAGTTGAAGCAGCACCTTTTCTATCACCCTTGCAATTAAATTCAGAACAGTTTTAAAATATAAGAACTCCTAAGTCATCCTTGATGCCTGATAAGTACATGGATGCAATCACATTTTGTAAACAATACAGAGGTAGGTGCTGCAACAACAATTAAGTGGAATGGCTTGCCATCAGAAGTTGTGGGTGCTCCATCACTGGAGGTTTTTAAGAAAAGACTAGGCAATCACTTGTGTGAAATGGTATAGGTTCTCCTGCTTGAGCAAGGAGTTGACTATAAGATCTGCAAGGTCCCTTCCAACTCTGTTGTTCTGTTATGTGCTATGGCCATCCGTCTTTTGTTTGTGTGTTTGTGTGTGGCTCCAAGTCAGTCTTGTAGATAAGGCCTTGCAGTTTTCTTGACATGATTTCAGAAGTTATTTATTTTGCCTTCTTCCTGGGACTAAGAGAGCATGATTGGCCCAAAGTCATTCAGCTGGTTTTGAAGACAAGACTAAAATTCATAGTCTCTTGGTTCCTAGCTTGGTGCCTTTAACCATTACACCAAACTGGTTCTCCATGGTCCACTGCTAGTTACTAAATGTTATTATCATAGTAATAGCCAGCTGGAATCTACACATCTGTGTCTTTATAGGCATTTGGCAATTTAGGCTGTCAATTCTGGATACTTTATGTACGGTGCATATAGAGCATGCAGTTGAGGGACGTTGGTCTATAAAGATTGAGATGTAACATTCTTTTGAGTTTGTCCTCTGAATGCATTTCTTTTTAGAGCAATTTCAGAAATTTTGTGGTTCTCAGATTTACATGTTCCAGGAGACAAAATTATTTTTATTTCATGACTAGATCAATTTCCTTACATTTTTTCATTTTTCTCCTTCTCCAAATCAAAAATGAAAATTAAAAGCATCCCAATATTTAAAAAAGATATAGATATATAAAAGATGTAAAAAGAAGATGTTAACCAGGTTAATAACTGGTTAATAACTTAGTGACCCATCTTAGGAAAAAAATCCAAGAAATGAAAAGTCAGATGACAAATTTATTTATTTATATTCAATCTTTATTATTTTTACAAATAACTCATAGTGGTTATTTGGTGGTTATAACTCAAACTCATAGTGGTTATGCCTTCCTCCTTCAGGAATATTTCTTATTTTCAAAACAGCAGTTTCCTATTCATTTTAATTCCTGTTAGTTCTCTCCATTTCTACCTTTTCAATTCCTCCTATTTTGTTGTATGTCAATCTGGGATTTTGTTTAAAAAGGTCTGTATAAATATTTGCATCAATTTCATGTTTATTTTTCCTAACAAATCTCTTATTTATATGGATTTGTAGATATATTTTAAAAAAGTGAACAAACAGGAGCTACATTCTAAAAAGTGGGTAGGGTCACAAGAAAACAAGATTTGATTTAATACTGGTATTAATTTACTTTAATTACTTACACGAATAATTGCTCCCAATGTATTTTTCCTCCCATCACATTAAAAACTAAGTCAATTAGCTTTTATAGGGCTCAAGGGGCTGAATGCACCACTGTTTCCTGTAGGGAAGACAGCACCCTTAAGGTAACATCAGTGAATAATTTTGTTTATCAGGAAAATGGAGTATTTACAGTGAGCACTTTAGTTTTGTGACTCAAACACTAAGGATGAGAAGCATTTACTGCCTCCCTTTGAATTGGAATAGATTTTAAAAAATAGTAAAAATAAAGTAACCAGGTATAGCTCAT